TATTTGAATCTTTCTATTTGAATCTTTCTATTTTTCTACAAAAAGCCTATATTACTCTCCTCACCAGGAAAACACACACACACACACACACACACACAGACATAACTATTGACTTATGAGTTTATTTTCCCTAAATCTGCATAATTGCATTTGTTGGTTAATCCTATTAGCTAATGTTAATTAGATTGTATCAAGTTCTCATTTAACATTTTGCTCCTTTTACTCCCCATCACTCCTTCCTTCTTTCTTGTCCCTGCAACAGCCTGAGAGAAAAGGCCCATAGGGTCCCACTCACTGGCCAGGGGGGCTAAGAAGACAAAGAGAAAGAGGGGGAGGGGCTCAAGAAAAAGGAACTCTTCCCAAGCAGGAGGAAGCTGTAACAGCTCCTGCCAGTTTCCTCATAAAATTGCAAGAGAAAGGAAATCACCCCTGAGATTTCAAAAACAAATGAGGAGAGACTGTGCTGAAGTAAAAGAAACTGGAAGTCACAGTTTCCCATCCCAGCAGCACATGGGTTATGTGGCTCCTACCAGCCCATGTACCCTCTGTTTGTTCTACAATTTTCTTAGCTCCCAAAAGGAAGCCATTTGTATTGCAGGACTGGGGGAGGAAGCAGACGGAATAAGAGAAAAATAGTCTATAATCTATACCTCAGGATTCCCACACATATACACCCAATAAAAATTCCTTTTTAAAGGGATGATAAAAACAAAACTAACCAGGAATTGGCAATATGAATCTTGAAAGCAGTTTGCATTTTCGTTATATTGAGAAATGCTCAAGCTATAAAGTTACATATAGCACCAAGACATAAACATACATACCCTACCTTGATCAAGTTTTTTAAACTTGACAAGTCTCAGATTTGTCATTTATCAAAAGGAGATAGTAAGACCAAACTCACGGGGTGACTTTAGGATTCATTGACATAATCTAGCTCACTTGCTTCCAACAGTGTCTGATCACTGCTGGTACATCATAAACGAGTGCACTAGTGCAGCATCATTAAAACACAGAGCTGCGTGCAATATCTAAAAGTAAATATGCTGACATTATTAGTGGTTGTTTCAGAATGAAGGGATTCACAAATCTTTCTGTCTCTCTACACTTAACTGCACTTTCCAATTTTTCTACAATGAAAGCTTTTTCCTAACCATGAAAAATAAAATTAGTGATTTGCAAATTTATTTTTCCAAAATCTATATAAATGAAATTCTTAGCTAAACCCATTAGCTAACTCTAGCTAGATTATATGAAGGTCTTGTTTAATGTTCCCTTTAGTGAAACTGAAGATCTCTGTGAATTACAAACATGTCAGATAAATACATACACATGACAAATATATACGAATAAGATATTTATTTAAAGAGAGGAATCTGTCAGAAGCACAATTGGGAGCCATACTTCATTTGTACCCTGTAAGTTGGATGAAAGCATGTCACTCTTCTGCCCTTTAGACATCTCCCTTATACCACACAGCCAAAAGTAATAAATAGATACAAAAATAAATAAAAGAGCTTCTATATTTCCTCTACTGCCGTCCTTCTTAAAGTCACAGTGCCATGGTGGTGCCCAGTGGATTCTGCAGCTGAGATCCAAAAACAATCTGTTGAAGTATTTGAAGGCAGTCACTCAGAATTTAAAATTCTAATTTTTGCATTCTCTTTCCCAACTTACTCTAAAAACTTAATATATGCATATTCAGGATCCAGCTGACCCCTATGTCAAAAACACTAGGCCCAGGATTTCAAGACTGCCCCTCTGTACTTAAGTGACTATACTGGCAATCTGCCGAGAACACAACATCTGTTCCATTTATGCAGTGACGGCAGATCCACCATTCCCACTTGGCTTTGCGGGGTCGGGACTCTGAAAATCACATTTCTCCTTCTCCAGATACTCCCTGTGCATTTCTGAATGAAGGCAGGAGCATGAGACTAGAAGTCTAGAGGAGCAGACTGATGAGGGAGGCAGGGGTGCTGGAGGGAGGCAGAGAGGTTGGAGGAAGGAAGCTGGAGGCCTGTCGGAAGAAGGATCACTGGCTTCTCTCTCTACCTGCTTTTCCTATTGGTGTTACCCAGGCATTGGCCCTGCACCCTAATTACAGCATTTGACTCAAGGAAGTCTCAGCTCCCCAGGACTCTCCAAATGAACCTCTTCACCTCCTGCTCAGAGATGCATGAGCCTCCTCTAAATCTCTACATGCTGATCCAGTCTGCCTCCCTTGGCTCCTCTTCTGTGCTATGATCTCTGCATCACCTTTCACCTTAGCTTCCCTCTCCAACACTGTTCAACCTCATACCTCATACTAGATATGAGCCTTTCAAATAACTGGTGTGATTTCTGTTTTCCTGACTAGATCCTGGCTGATACAATGCCCCATGTATATATATATATATGAGTTTGGCAATATGTATACAACATGGCTGTTGTGAGTAGTGCTACCAGTAAACACTGCTAAACAACCATCTGTTTGAGCCCCAACTTGAAATTCTTTTGGGTATATAGCAGTGGAATAGATCAGTTGTTAATTTGATCTCTAATATCTAGAGGAATCACTCTACTTTTTGCCCACAGTGCTGGACCACTTTACATTCTCACCAGCAATTTACAATGATTCTGATTTCTCTGCATGCTCATTGACCCTTGTTATTTTCCTTTTTTTTTTTTAATAGAAGTCATTCTATTAGGCATGATGTATGGGTCATCCCATATGACCCATAATGGGTCACCCATTATCATGATAATGGGCATGAAGTGGTTTCTCAATGTGGGTCAGATTTTCATTTCCCCAGTGACTAATGATGATAAGCATCTTTTCAGGTGACCATTTAAGTAAATGGTCTCAGACTACAAATCCTTGTGTTGTTCAATTGAGAAATTTTACAATAAGTAATGCATTTTAATACAATTGAAAGGATCCAGAAGAATGTTGATGATCACAACATTCAAAAGTCATCCAAAGTTCATGCTCCTTCTTTCTAAATTATTTCTTTCAAATTTTTAGTTGTCACAAAAGATCCCTGATTCAATTCAATTGCATAGTTCCAAAGCTTGAACTCCTAAGTCATTTGGCAGTGAGTTTAAATGATCTACATGAATTTGAAATTTACAGTAGTTATGATACTCTTCAGCTTTTTTCTTAAAGAAAAAATAATGACCTTTCAATTCTCATGGATTTTTTTAAAGTGATTGCTCAGCATCTAAAACTGTACGTTCATTTTAAAATATTGTGAATCAATGTAAGAAATGAATAGCAGGCATTATTTTATAGAAGTAAAGAAATAAATCTAATCATCCCCCTAATAATCTGTTACTAGAGCAAACACTCTGTCGCTAAATCTTATTGCTATTCAACATTTATGGACGTACTGATAACATGATTTTTTATCTTTTCTTTAGTTTATCATCAGGTAACCAAACATGTGAGGCTAACAGTGCCATAACATGAAGAGCTGTTCTCAATTATAGCATTGACAGGATCAATGCATTTAGCATATATCAACATGGAAAAAAGTTGATAGGTTTGGTCATAAAACTTCAGGAACTGACATGTGATTAAGTTACAAGAATACCTTTACAATACTAGTTTGGTATGGCTCTTGATGATATTAAGGTCTCTACAAAATTTTACTTTAGAAACCTATCTTTAATGGGCCCTCCCTGGTGCCTCAACAGATTAGAGTTCAGCACTGCAAGCTAGCCTCAGTCACCTTAGCGGGAGTTCAATCCCTGGCCCCGGGGATGATCCACATTGCACAGCAGATCTCTCTAGTCTCTGTCTCACCCACTGCTCCCCTCAGCAGTGTATTTCATCTATCTGCCTGTTCTGCTCCCTACTCTGTCTCTGGTGAATCCTCTCAACACCCCTGAACCTCAGGCCTGTACCCCAGTTCTGTAGGCATAAATAAATCTTTTTTAAAAATTCAATACATCTGAAATTCTGAGAAAGACTCAAGTATAAGCATAATGTACTCTTTTTCACAGGAAAAGTTTTACACATTATAAAATGTAAAATTAATTAATTAGTTAATTAATTAATTAAAAATAAATAATTTTAAATAAGCTTAAGTTTAAAGTTTATCCAAAACCACTAAAAATTAACTAGAAGTCTATAACTATGTTTATATGTTTTTGAAATATGCCTACAGTATCTAGCACTGATGCCCAATTTCACTCCTCCCACCCAGCCCTTCCAGACCATCACCAAAACTCCTCAAAATCAGTGCAGGTTAAAGCAAAGGGTTCCCTTCAAGAAGTCAATCATGACTCAACCACAGAATAAAGGCATCTATGATAAATTGGAAGTCTAGACAAAAATTGTGCAGCTGTTAATTTAGCCAAATTCTATAACATCACATTCCTAACAATGAAAAAATGTATTTCTTTTCCTTCCTTTTCTCGGAAATACTGGAGCACCCAGAGACCATATCCTATTGCTCTCCATTCTCCCAGGTAGTCTTAAAGCAAAGCAAGTGGATGGATGGGTAGCGGGCCTAGGTTGCTTGCCTGTCCTAATTTTTGCAGAAGCCTCCCTTACCATAGTACAGGCCAGTTCACACTAGCTCAGAGTCCTCACCGACAGCATGACAAGGGTGAACACGGTCAAGGGGTTAACACTGTCTTTTTCTGTTTACTAAGTATATTCTCTATGTAAAGCCCATACAGAATAATTTTGCACCATGATACACTCAAGATAACAGCCTGGAAAGGCAGAAAAAAATACTTGTGCCCAGAGGGTCTTGGCACCCAACACACAGCCTGGCATAGTGTCCTCAACCAATGAGCCTGCCCTGCTCTCACTGCTTTTAAAAACAGCCAACTACATGAAGGAATTTCACTCATTTTCTAAGATCACCTGGGAGTGATAAGTGGGACAAGAAATGGTGTCTATCATCTACATTCACCTGGTGGGAACAGGTGAGACCAGAATATAAACATCAAGAAACGAGACTTTCCCAAGGCCATGCACTCTTCGCAGTTCTGGCCACAGCACCCACCTGTCTCAAGTCCAGGGTGATGGTGACCCAGTGAAACACCCTCCCATTCTGAATGCTGGGACTTTGCCACCAGTTGTTGGTGCCGTCGATGGCATTGGATATCGGATGGCGTTCTGTGAACAGAAAGCAAAACCGTGCATTTCTCTCAGCTCTGGCTTTCAATGTTTTCACTTCTAAAAGCCAGTGGTATGGCAGTGAAGAGCAACATCTAGTCTAGGCAGGGCAAGTCCTGAGTCATCCATCCCAGAAGGGGAAGCCCCACTTGCCTTTGGGGTTTGAGCTGCCGCCATCGCAGACCCGGCACTGAGCATGGCGCACCGGGCGGCCAGGCACGTGCTCCACGAGTTTGCAGAACATCTCAGGCCCCTTCTCACCGCAGGTCGCATTGGTGCTGATGTTGGCGTTGCTGGCGAGGTTGAGAATGGCGGGAAACAGACCTAGAAGTCAAAATGTGCCGAGTCAGCTCGAAATCAAAAGGCTGAAGACTCACTTCAACTCACAGGAGAACCAAAAGGTTTGTAAGTTTGTGCTGAGTGAAAGAAACCTTACAAAAAAGAGCATCTAAGGTGATTTCATTTATATGAAATTTTTTTTAAGATTTTATTTATTTATGCATACAGAAATGGGGTACAGGCCAGAGGTGTAGGGGCGGTGAGAGGCTTCACCAGAAACAGAGTGAGGAGCAGAACAGGCAGATCGACAAAGTACACTGCTGAGGGGAGCAGCAGGTGAGACAGGAGAGGTCTGCTGCGCCATGTGGGTCACCCCCGAGGCCGGGATGGAACTCGCAGTGAAGCAGCCATGGCTTGGTATAGCTTAGCTTAGCTTCACAGTGCAGCCCTCCAACCCACTGCGTCACCAGGGAGGACCCTAGATCAAATTCTATGGTAAGCAAAGTAACTGACTAGCAGTTGTCCAGGGTGGCCCTGACTGGAAAGAGCAGGGAGGAACTTTCTGGAGTAATATTATGATCTGTCTTTGCACAGGCAGTTGTGAAAACAGTGTGCACACCTGTGATCTGGGTACACCTATGCATCCCAGCATTTATAAATTTTACCTCCAAAATAAAATAAAGTCACAAAATAATGATACATATATTGAAAGATATAGGGACAGCGTGTCCTCAGGCTTAACTCATTTTGAAAATGCCTGACAAATTAAGCAGAACTGAAAGAAAGATAGAGATGGGTATGCAGAGATAAGACGATAAGGAAAGTAGAGTAAAATTCTCAGTGTAGAATCTAGGGAGGAGGCAGGTGCCCACTGTACAATTCTTTCCATTTTTCCTGGCTAAACTTTCACAATAAAATGTTGTAAAATAGTTTTTGTGGCAAGTTCAAATGACCCAATGCACATATGCCAGTGAAATTCAAATAACTTTTGCTATAAAAAAAAGGGGGGGCATCTTTTCTCTACCTACTTAATAGCACAGAGTGGTACCCACTTTGTACCACTTACAAGGCCTTCATTTTCTAGGTACCTAATGCAAGGTCTTCTATTCTCTTTCTCCCCACTTACCCCCTCAATACCCACACCCCTGTGCTTGTTTTCTTTGGTGAACAAAACTTCAGAACACAAAGATCTAGCATTTTATTTATCTTTAATTCACCATACATCTTTTGTTTCAAGTGATTTTTTATCATTGAATAGCTGCCCAAAATATTCAGAAAACAGTTTTTGGATGACTGGGAGAAAAACAAGTCCATTGCATTCTTTGGAGATTTAACTTTTCTTAGCAAAAGAGCATAATAGCAATGAAGATTCTACAAAGATCTAGAAATAGCAGTGGCCATGATGTTGAATTCTATATGAATAGACACTGAACTGAAGAAGCACTGAAAAGAGGGGGCTTAGCTAAGTGGGACTTTTCTGAGTTCACAGAACTTGATCTTTAAAGATCACAGACAAGGATCTTTTCCTTATAAAGAGCATAGAGTCAATATTATTTCTGCAATATTTCTTTTCTAATGAAATTACAAATGAAAATAAGGTAAAAACTAATCTGTACCATAACCATAGTAAAATGGAAGGCATTTGAGCCCTTAATTTTTTTTTCAAGATACTGCTTCAAATTTTCAATAATGTTACTATTACAAATATTTTAATAATATAAATTATAAAAATAATTAGATTCATAAGGGATGCCATTTAAAAAACTTATTCACTAGTCTTTTACAAATTTTCTATATAAAACAGATCTACCTATTAGTAGAATAACCATTTTTTTGAAAGATTTATTTATTTATGCGTACAGAACTGGGGTACAGGCCAGAGGTGCAGGGGTGGTAGGTTCACCAGAGAGAGTGGGGAGCAGAACAAGCCAACTGATGAAGTGCACTGCTAAGGGGAGCAACGAGCTGATCAGGAGAGGTCTGCCAAGCCATGTGGGTCACCTCCAGGGCAGGGATCGAGCTCACACTCAAGTGGCTTTAGCTTCTCAGTGCTGTGCTTTAACCTGCTGCACCACCAGGGAGGGCCTTTAGAATAATCTTTTATGGATGTTAATAGCCTTTAGCCACTTGATAAAGCACAGTTAATGAATATTTAAATTCTAGAACACTATTCTTCACATTGAAAAGAAACATATCATAGATTTATCTTATTTGCTATATTTGATAAATTTATCTTCATTTTGATTAAAGTTGATCACTTTTTATCATACCTCATTAAAGGGAATTGAAAAGACTTTATAACTAAAAAGGATTTACAAGGAAATAGATGAATCATTATGCTTATGCAGGTCACCAAATTATTACTTTTATCAACCAGCAGTTAGACACTTACATTTTATGAAATTATATAGTTCCTCAAATGACACATAATTCTTGGCAGAGGAACTTACACAGCAGAGCGAGCTAATATTTATTCTTTTTAGTTCTGAGGTAAATAATAATTTTCTCCATTTTTATGACCATAATATTTTAGCAATCTGGTTCAAATGCATCTTATAAGCTAATAATATATGATACAATATGGTTTTATCATGGTATTTTATCCAAATAGATAAAATGATGTTTTTCTAATCTGTGTCATATTTTATGGGTTTAGATTTACGGTATAATCAACTCTATCCATTCCCTTTGAGTTTAGTCAAACAAAGAGAAAAAACCAGGGTCACAGGAACTGATTTAACAATGCATATATCTAACAACAAATACTTTATCAGCTAACTTCACAAACGTTCCCACTTTTTCTCTATTCTCTCTTCCAGTTGCAGAACATCAAGAGAAAACCCTACGTCCTGCCCAGGGTGCCCCCAACCCGGACCTGGAAAGCTGCAGTAGCTTTGGAAAGTTGGAGAAATCAGAATAGAGGGGCAAGGCACAAGGATAGCATTCAGACTTCCCAGTCTATGCCCTGAGTTTCTGAGAAAAAAAAGCTCAAACTTCCTGGTCATAACTTAACCTGTTTTGGGTGAATTAGATGTTTATTATAAGAGTCAGCACCAGGTAGTTCTTTGTGCCAGATAGGTTTCAAAGAAAACTTCCACATTTCCTCCCTTTGCTGGTATTCTAAATACCCTTTTAATAAAAATAAAGACAAATCCCTTCACTAGTGGAGCAGAAAAAAAATTAAAAAGCCCTTTATAGAGTTCATTTTCATAAACATAGCCTGATTGTCTTTCACTACAACAAAATCTTCTCAGATAAGCTAATCTTTGAAAAAAGTCCCTGACTAGAAAGTATTTCCTACATATTCCACTGACTCACTTCACAGTTACAGAATAATTATTACTCTTGTGGCTAATGACCACATCAGTAAGGTGAAGGAAAGTTAGAAGTTCTGGAGAAAGCATGTTTGAAGAGGTGGGTTTTGCTTGTTTGTTTTATAAATCCTTCAGGGTGCTCAATCCTTTCAAAGAGTACTAAAACATTTAAATAACGGAAAAGTACATAGGCTTTAAGTAGGGGGAGGGACAGGGAAATCAAAAGTTGAAAAAGAGCATTGGGATCGAGAATTTACCAAGAATGAAAGTTTGGTTTTGCACATAAAATGAAAGGCAGAATGAGGGGTGAAAAGGAAAATACGGCTTTTCCATCACCTAGCCACACAGTTGATCAATTAGACTATACATTTTTGTTGCAAAATATTACTTATTTTGATTAGCATTATATTTCAGCAATATTAATTGTACCTCTTCCCCTCCTAGTCAGGATACACAAAGAAATTATTTCTCTATACATGTAGCTAAAGAATTTATTTAACCAGTAGCTAAAGAATTTGCATTTATAATGCAAACTCCATCATGCATGAAAAAATTCCTTCTCATTCACCAGTACTTTGTTCTCTTTTTAAATCCTCTTTCTCCATGACTTGAGTATAGTTGGCCTTCACAGATGCCTGTCAGGACCACATTAATCTACTACTTATATTGGGTGAAAATTGTCACTGAGCTAATGGACAGCAAATTAGTACTGGTAATTATTAAAGTTTTCATCTGAGAAGGCAACAGATAGTCTAGTAATTCATGTTTAGAGGCTGCTGGGATTTCCCAGCATAAGATATTTTTGCTGCCTTAAAAATGGAATATCTACAATGTTGACTGAATCTGCAACTTACTGAAACAATTTCTTCAATATTTCTCAGATGACCCAGGGCCAACAGTTCAGGGTATTGCACTTGTGTGAGGAACATGTACTTTTGGTATGAGATATGTTGAGTTCTACAAATTGTTATACTAATATAACACTAATATGTAATATGCCAATCAATACTCAAAATTAATATGATATTCTGAAAAGAAATTGATTTGCTACTTTTAGTTAAATAATCTGGGGCATTTTTTTCAGATCATTTATCCCCACAATGAAATAAAAACTATGAATATTTTACATATTTGAAACTCAAGTAGCTTTTGCAACTTTCTTAAAGTGGATTCAGGAAATTGTATTTTGGGGGAAATTATCAAAGTTGTTTATTTAATAAATGCTACACATTCCATTTAATTTTAGAGAAATTCACAACATCATTGTTGGGAATTTGTGATTTTTTTTTAAACATTCAAATCCATTTTGTTCTTCATTTGCCAAATCTCACTTTCCTAATCTCACCCATCTACACAACTAAATGACTAAAAATGTAATAGAGGCAGAAGAATCAGGAATAAAATTCCCTGGTTCCCACCACCCAAATGGTAGCAATGGTGGCACATATGAACACAAAATGACACTTCTAACAACTATAATTGGCTTCCTCAGTGCAAAATCTTGATAGTTTTTAATACTGTTCATGATAAAATCAAGATATCCCAATAATATACTATTCCAGATGAATAATATTAAGATAGTCTAATGAAACTAATTTTAGGCAGCTATATGGATTTATATTAAGTAATATATCTATATCCATCAGAAAAAGTGGGTGAGAATGCCCTACCAGGGCCAGACGCTTATCAGACGAGCAATACTGCCTGCGCAAGCAGATTTTAGTTGGGATT